TTTCTTTCATAATAATTCCACCACAAGCAAGGCGATGAAGCAGCAAAGATTTCAATGGAACGCTGTAAGTATTCGAAAAAGTGCTGAAAAGAGAAGACTATAAAAGATCTGTATAAAAGAAAAGGTGGCGATTGACGCTGCATTTAAATTTTTGAAGATCGGATTTGACAAGAAAACAGGAAGATACATCCCCCAAACGAGACGTTTGGGAAAAGAAACTTTAAAAAAAAAAATGGCCTACAGTTCCATCTCGCAGTTTCAAATCTAAAATAACGAAAGCTAGCTCCCAAACAAATACTATACTCAAATTCTTGAAGTTGATGTACGAAAGACAGAAAAAGACAGAACAAAAAGCACGACTGTATTTATAGAAATGCCAAAAAGGAAACGAATTTTCAGCGGTGGGGAAAATCACTGAGGCTGAGATGACACGTATGAATATATAACATTGCATATTCTTTTTGGATTTCGTCAAGAATACCTCGATATATAACAGAAGCACTAAACCAGATGCGCCAGCAATATTTGATGCTCGAAATAATGGTAAAATTATAAAGGTTAAAAAAAACGTGATGTTTCTAGTGAGAAAAATTGTCTCGCAATTGATTCTATATAACCTTTCCAATTCATGTCACAAGAAAATGTTCGACTAAGAAAGAACAATATGTTCCTCTCTTGGAAGTTAACCTGAGGTATGCTCAGAGAAAGCAAACAGATTATCATATATATGTGTAAATAGAGTAGTTTTGTTTTCGAGGCGTTAAAATTAACGAAGAACAAAAATAAATGAAATCTCATATTAAAATTTGATGTCGTCTTTTATTTTCAAATTGATATTGTCTGCATTTCTCCTTTGAATATATAAGTTTGTTACAGATTTCTTTCATTTTGGATGATTCTGGTTCGTTTCATCGCATTTCGAACAATGGCAGGGAATTGTGAGAATTTTCTTTGAAATTTAATGCTTTGTTTTCATTTTCTTTAGTTGCGTAGTCAATCAACTGTGAACATCTTTAACAAACCTAAGGCAAAAGATCAGAAAATTAATTAAATAACAGAAAGGAATATCGGTCGGTATTTAAAGAAGACTCTTCTGATTCCACATTTTTTGTCGACTAATTAAAAAAAAAGCGTAACATTTTGAGAAAAGACCTTAAAAGCATTGTGACTGATATCTGTTATTCAAAGCGACATTTATTGGCTTAGTTCAATTATTTCAGTCAAATCAAAGGCGTTTTAAATGGGTCTAAAGTGAACTTCGTTTGATGTAGATTATGATTAAAATATTAAATAAATGAAAAGGTATATTATTGCAACGTTAGTGTAATTATGACATTTAATTAAGTAGGCTAATTACTGAAACTTTACACCTTTATATACACGTAGGCACTCATGTACAATTTCTGTTTTTTTTTGTTTTTTTGCAAACACCATCATCATAATTATTATTATCACTATTTTAGTTTTCTTTTTGATTTCACATAATCATCTGCATTCCAAAAAGTGGAGAAAATCAAAACTATTTCTGCACCCCACCACACATATATCCTTGTACATAGAACTTTTTGGGATTGTTCCTATTATCTGATAAAATGAATCCCGACACTTGAATCGCTTAACAATGTGTTGACATGAACTACTTAACAACTCCTTGTCATGAACTAGGTAACACTTTGCTGTCATTAGACACGCAAATATGACTATAACACTCCGACCTTTTGACAACAAATTCATATGATCATCAGATTTGGGAGCAAAATTTACTTTAACTGATCAATTTTTAATTAAACGAGATAGCAAACAGGGTCGGCATTTTTTTTTTCTGGATAAAACTGTCAGAAGATGGTATAGTCTTATGTCTCTCCATCTCAATTTAATTTTTGATAATCATAGAATTGTGAAAATCTAAAGAAATATTCTTAAAGACTCAGCTGCATTTCCAACTATCATTTATATTGTGTGGGATACATAAAAACTTAATTTCTTTATATATATATATATATATATATATATATATATATATATATATATATATATATATCTCGAAAGAGAGAGATAAAAAGATAAATGAACTTATTAGACGGTGGATATAGTCTTAGAAAAAAGCTGATTGATATGTACATAGATAGATGGCTAGAAACAAAATAGAGTGTATTAACACACGCACATATATATATATATATATATATATATATATATATATATATATATATATATATGTTTTAGAACAGAATGAAATTGAGTAACAAGTAACAATAGAGTAATATAGCTTGATATAAAGAGAATAAGATGGACGAATAAAAAGGAAGCGAAATAGAGCAAGATAAATCAATCTTTATAATGTGCGTGTATATATATATATATATATATATATACATCATTGCCGTACAGTACTGTTTCACAGCTCCACAGCGCGACTAGACAACCGAACACCTCAAGCCCAGAACGAAACCCAACCGAGTTGGTGTCAATCAGAGCTTGTACCACTGAGACACCTTCACTTGACAGGACCAATGAGCCAAATCTAGAGATTGTTTTACTAACGTAAACAAATTGCTCCATTCATTTTACTGAAGAGCTTCGTATTTACGTAGTTTTCCGTTGTTTTTAGAATTAGCTTGTCATTCAACAGGGCTCAATTTAAAATATATTTTCAAGTGCTAAATTATACCATTTGTAGACAGTACATGGAAACAGGTGTATGTAACACTTTTCGTTTGCTATAGCGATTCCCTGGGCATGATTGAAGGACTACAGTTATCCCGCTGCTAACAATGTGACCAAACAAGAGGATTAAATTCATATCGCCAAATGCGCATCATGCTGGCCCATATAATAAACCGTTCACAATGCAACCTGACCTAAGAAGCACATAGAGTTTTTTTTTTTTTCCAACACCGAGAGATTTATCAATTTTGGTTTGGTTTGCTTAGCTTTGTTTTCCGGCACATCAACCTCAATGGGCTACTACTCAACGCCGAAATTATATTTTTTTTATTGCTGGTAATACTTTGTTTTGTCAAATATCTATTTCTGGTAATATTTTTCCTTCAAACATGTCTTTCTGGTAATATTTTCCCTCCAAAATGTATAGTTGGCAATATTTTTTCTTTAAACACATTGTTGGTAATATTTTTTCCTTCAAATATTTATTGCCAGTAATAATATTTTTACAAAGTATTTCTGGTATTAAAACCTATTTTTGTACTTTCATAGTGTTTTTAGCCCAGTTTTGGAGTTAACGATTTGCCCATAGCTGGGATCCTAACAGGTGCTACCACTCTGGGTCAGAGTGGACCTGTGATCACCAGCAATTAAGAGGTGGTTCCACGCTCCTCAAAACCTCCTGATCAGGGACCTTGCTGCTGGACGTAGTTTATCGTCTTACCCATGATGTTTATCAATTTTGGTGGACGTCGTCAGACGTTATGTCATGAGTGAGTCGCATTGTTTTTTTTTTTTCAGAGGCTGTATGCATAAAAAACAAAATGCGGATTTTAAACTCAAGAACATTCAAGACAGTTTTATCTTTCTACTCCCAATCTAAGGAGAAAAAATTCTTTGCTTTTCCTCAAGCATTGTGGTATATTTCATGCTAGGTTTGAAAGAAAATAAATTATATTTTACAATACGTATAAACGATATATTTGTACACATTAGATTATACTTCTTTTTCACCGATGTTAATTTTTCATGCGTTCCCCAGTTGACCGGCAGTTAATTTTTTTCCTGCTTATTCATATGATCACCAGATCCTTAAACCAAGATCATCGAACATATCCCTTCCTCTTTAAATAATCATTTCAACGCACAAGAAAGGCAATAATGCCGCTAAGACACAAGCGATTACTAGGAGTAAAAGAGAATGAGAAAATTGGAGTAAGCAAAAAGAACAATAAAAGAACAAGGGTGGGAAGAGAGGTGATGACGACTGGCGTTGGATAAAATATTTTTGCAGACTGTAGATTTCAGGGAAACCAGAAAGAAAGTTCCACAGGAACGCGGGAAAAGAAACTATTTATATAGAACTTACGGTTGTATCTAGTTTTTTATATAGTAAAATGATGAGACCTAATTAACAATCTAGTCGTGCGCTTAAATTCCTATAGTCGAGGTTCCATGGACTTCTTATTAGAATGAGTGGCATTAAAATATTTCTAGAAGGAACAAGGTGTGAAAGGAAAACAATTTGTTCATAAGTTAATTGAAAAGGAATTTTATTGCGATACAGCTTCATTGACAGAAATGTACTTTAGAGCTTTTCTCATTATTTATTTCTTCTATTTGCTTTCCGCTACTCGAGGTTAAGAGGCAATTTGTGCCGAAAGAACGGGATGATAACTGTTGACCATAGCCTAGAACAAGTGAAGATCGCGAAAACATTCTCTTGGGAATCGGTTCCACAGAGTAGTGGTTCGTGTGAATAAGCTATTCGAGTGGAACTTACTTCTCACCGATGGAATACGAAGGGAATGTGGGTGACATTGCTACCATGTAAGTGGTATGACACGTTCTTGTCATGAAGGTTTGAACTGATGGAATGAAGGAATAGAGTTCTTCCGTACACTTTCCATTTCTTCGGAGGGAATTCAACATGAAATTATTGTTTCGTTAAAGACTGATTTATTTTCTCCGTCTTGTCAGGCATTTGCAGGTTATTTAAAGCCAGAAAATGTTTCTCTGTTGATTTCATACGCAAGTCTGTCAGACAAGAAATAATCTCATATTTATTGAGTGGTTATTTTTTACGGTATAACAACCCATTGTAGATTATTTAAGGCCAGAAAATATTTTTAGATTTTAAGAATTGTTTGAACTAATAATCGTTTACTGATGCAAGTCATATTAATTAACCTAGCTGGGGAAGAAAAGGTGGATTCATACCTTTAACAAGTGTTTTTGCGCGTATGTGAATAGAACGAACCTAACAGGAATTGGAACTCGGCTCACTGATTAACAATTTCGAACCATTATCCATTACACCACCCTCACATACAAGCTTACATCCTCTAGTATTCACAAGCGGTCATTTATCTAGGTACTGACCAGGTTCGACTTTGCTTAACTTCGGTGATCGTACGGGAACAGGCGTTTCAATTTTATGTGACCGTTACCCGTACAATTTGTGCGAAGAGATGATGAAGACATATACTTCATTTGAGAAGAGATTAAGAATATACTGGAAATAATAATGTATTTTAATGATACAAATCCTAAAAGTAACACATAGCTGGGAGAAGGGGTGGATTCGTACCTTTGCCATGGGTATTTGCGAGTAACTGAATATAACAAATTCGACTGGAATTAGAACTCGTCTCTCCGATTAAAGATTCCGTTATCAGCGAAATCATCCGCACATCCAAGCTTGCAGAACTTGGTATTCCCAAGCGGTCACACATCTAGGTACTGGACTGGCTCGACGTTGCTTGAATTTGACTTTGATGATCGTATGAGAAAAGGCGTTTCAACGAGATATAAGTCGTTTCATTAGAGAATCCACTTCATAACTGTATAAGCATTTTTAAAGGCTAATTTAATATCAGCAATAAGAAATTAATAATTCTAAAAAATTGTAAAAGACATGAATTAAAAAGGAAACAAAGAAAATGAAACAAAACCTGGGAACTGTACAAAATTATATTTTAAAAGTGTGAAAGACATTAAAACATGTACTGAAAAACATGATAGAAATGGCAAAAACAAATGTAAAAAAAAGTAAAAATAGTGTAAAAATAAATAAATAATAATAAATCAAATACGAAATGTAAGAAAAAGTACATGAATATTATAAAAACAGATGCAAAATAGAGATGAATAAAGGGGACTGGAGAACTTAATACTCACAAGATACCTTGACGGCCAATGGGAAAAAAGCGAGTAACCTATTTTACAAGAAATAGAAATTGTGGAGTCATTATTTACATTATTCGGATTGTCCTCATCTTTGTCGACATATTTATTACAACGTTTCGGCCGTTGTACGCTCCGGCATTCTTCAGGTGTTTGGAATGTCGAATTGAGCACTTTATTTAGCTCACTGTGGTAGACTGTTCTAGTTCCACGTGCCATGTGTAATGTATGTCAGTTATCAGTTATCTCTTGTTAATTCCTCTCTGTAAGTTATCCACTGCCTTAACAGGGTATTGAACTCACACTCTTCGGGTCCTGTCACTGAATCTAACCAAGGTTTTATCGACTGTGCCATGGAAAATTCTTAAACTTAAGGAATCAGCGCATATGCTAGGCCACAAAAATCTCCTGAGCCGACCAAGCATAGAAATGAATACTATTTGGGAACTAGTATTAATGAGTGCCAGAAAAAAGCGATAATAACAAAAAATTGCGATATGAGCTCTGGTAAAAACATGTATGATAATAGCAAAAATTTCAATATGAACACTAGTAAAAAAGGTTGCTGAGACATTAGGTTTATAATACCCAGAAATTCATACACAGTTGCCCTCAAGGACACATGGTTATATCCAGTGACAGTTCAATATCCCGGTTAAGGCAGTGGAGAAAGTGGAGAGGGGAATTAACAGGGGATAACTGATAACTGACATCCATTAGACATGACACGTGGAACTAGAACAGTCTACCACAGTGAGCGAAATAAAGGGTTCAAAAGAAGGCCGGAGAGCAACGGCCGAAACGTTGTAATAAATATGGCGACAAAGATGAGGAAATAGTCCGAATAATGTAATTAGTGAATAAAAATAATGACGTAATAATGTCGTTTTTTGCCGTATTTTTAAGGCCAAAAACGACATTATTACGTCATTATTTTTTGCACCAACCTAATAGTTTACATAATACCTAGTCTCAGATATATAGACAGATACATTGGGGGGGGGGGAGGGTCATATAGGTAAGAAACATCACGAAGAGCTAAATATAATAAGAATCAGTAGAGTGCCATCACCAGCCTCTTCTTCAGGGTCAAGTCCCATGAAAGAACAGTGATGAGATTCGATATTTTATATACAGGTTGCGTGAGTAAAAGTAGAATCAAATATCTATGTTAAAGTGTTTGCGTGTTCAAAAAGTGATCGGGTCAAAGGTTAGATGTATTGCACGTAATATAAGACAGGTAAACACTAGCTGCACTTAATAATCGCCTCTTCGACAAAGAAGAGACTTGAAGCAACAAAAATGTGGTTCTATGGAAAGATCTTGAGATTACCGTGTACTGAATATTTGAGCAACGACAAAGGTTTAGAGAAGACAGAAACAATATCGACATTTATATTCAATATCAGGAAGAAACAGATGGGATATTTAGAGTGCATAATGAGGAAAGAGTTTTTGGAAAATTTGATACTCACAGGACTGATGGAGGGACATTGAAAACAACGCACAATCTATCTAGAGAGTGTGAGCAAAGTGATGACGTAAAAAGGGTTAGGAGAATTAACAAAAAGTGAATTTATTAAGAGCTACAAAAGGCAAGACATTGAGGAGAGCCATGATCGTCATCACCGTGAATGTGGTACGGCATATAAAATAATAAAAATAACGATATCAGATGTTTTAATATAATTCAAATTTTACATTAAAAAGTTCAATAAATTAAAATATCTGTGTATTTAACGCCGAAATCGTATCGCTTATTTTCTAATATGGGGATTATTTACTGATGAAGCCACAGTGTATAAAAGGTTTAAATTAAATAAATTTAAAATTCAATGGTAAGAAAAATCAATGAATAAATAAAATAAAATCATCTTAACACCCAAAAAAAAAAAAATACCAGCAATACAAACCGTTTGTATTTTTTAAGTATTGCTGATAATAATTTTTCATTCAAAAATTATTGCTGGTAATGATTTTTTTAGTTACAAAATATTTCTGGTATCAAAACATATTTTTACACAAGTTTGGGTGTTAACTATTTGCCCATAGCTGGGACCCTAACAGGTGCTACCACCCCGGGTCAAGGTGGACCTGGGAACACTAGGAATTAAGAGGTAATTCCACGCTCCTCAAAAGTCCTCCTGGTCAGAGGCCTTGCTGTTGGACGTAGTTTATCGTCTTACCCAGGACGCGGATGTAGTTTATTGTCATACCCAGGACGCGGATGTAGTTCATCGTCATACCTACGATGCCGTTCGTGCTTTGAATACTGTTGCCATATCTGGTGTGGTGCTCCTGCACTAGTTCTTGAAATTCTTGACAAAATCCAAAGAAGGATCTCTAATCCTGACCAGGCATCTCGATTTCAATCATTTTCTCACCGATGTGATGTGATTTACCACTGTCTTTTCTGCAAGCATTTTCATGGCAACTGCTCTGACAAGTTTTACCTCCCTTATCTCCGACGATAGTAATTTAAGCGTGGCATCTCGGTCCAACCCTTTTATTGCTGAAATAACTAAATGGAACCTCCAACAGTTTCTTTTCTCGCACTTCACACATGTGGAACTCCTTTCCGTTTATTTGCTTCCCTGATAACTACAATCTTCAAAAATTTAAATGCAACCTCAATCACCATCTTGCGTCTTCTTAAATTCCGTACATCTTTTGTTCTGTTCTCAATCTTACCTATTCTCAGTTTTCTCTTTCACTTTCGGTCCCTGTAACCCGCTGCCTGCTAGTGTCCTTCTTGATCTGCTTTGAAATGGCATGATTAAAAAAATAATTATAAAGCGGAATCTATAAAAAAAATATGGGAAATGTTTCTCTAATGAAAACAAATTAAAATATGCGACAAAAAACTGCTACATCGACAATTTTGAATTTTACTCAAAAGGTATAGAAGAGCTGAGTTGTAAGCGTCAGAAGTCTTTCCAAATAATATTGAATATAGATTTAAATAAAACTGATTAAAACAATGAAATTATTTATGACTCAGTATGACCTAATATAAATTTATTGCTTAAAATACTAGCCCAAATTACTTCACATCTGTGTTTTCTTGTCGACTGAACGTTTCAAAGATGGCCTAGGACACTATCTTCAGTCCCATGTATTTTCAATCATCATTCTTCTAAAATATACTATGGGCAACTCGACGTGGTGTAAGGATTAGCAAGCTTTTCTCGCTAGACCAATTACAACGCAATAGCGGGTCCGATATTCACTGGATGCCCCATAAATTCAGCCTTGTGCTACATCTAAGCTACATTTATAAAACCACTGTCACTAAAATACTACTAGCAAAATGTGTTTTCATCAATATTTTCGACGCATTTACATGTTCATATTTCTGATGTGTATCGTAACTAGAAATATTTTGTAACATGTCGAATCCTTTTAAAATCCTCTTCATAATAACCCAATGATTTGATGAGCAAATTTTGTTTTTATTAAGTTTTTGGCATTTTTACATCATTAGAATCCTCAAAGTATTTGGTAATGTTGAAGATATCGCAAAACATTTTTGTCGAGATTTACAAACTCTACGGTTCGTTCAATTTCGAAAACCAATCGATGAAATTTGAATAAGTTGATTTGTTTGAAAAAATACTTTAACAAAAACCCTAGTTTTCGGTTTAATAATTTCTCTAATTTAATTTAATTTTGTAGGACTTCATGGTAAACAATATTTTTTTAAGGACATTTCTTTGTTTTCCTTTTACTTTTTTTTTAACAGTGAAGGATAGATTCTTAAGATTTATCACTCTTGAGCATGCAACATATAACCATCCATAAATACTTCTTTCTGTAGAAAAAATTCCAACTTTTTGAAGCGTTCTCTTTGATTATAGTTGTTTGTTTGGATTTCTTTATAGTTCTTGGAAACTGTGGTCGAACTGGAAACTGGATTCTTGTAAATATTAAAAATATATTAGAAAATATTTGTAATAAACAATATTGCGTTTTTATTATTTGTTATTATAATCATTAAATTCTTTTTATGTTGTAGCATACCTACGGACAATAATGGGTATGTCCACATTCACATAAATACAGTAGTAAATACTGTATGTTGGTCTGCAGCTGGAGGTTCGTCTCTAGCTGTGCTAGTCGAACTCTCTGTCACCGGTCAGAGAGGATCCCCAGACGAGATTTTGTCGAAGGACAGAGTCTCGTCTTGGGAAACAGCTACCCGACCCCGTTCTATACTGGGTCTACGGGGAATTTTTGGCCGAACCTACA